AAGTAGCTTGGTACAATTTGTTTCTCTTAAGAAAAGAATGAAACTTGTTCAGAAATACGTCCAGCATTTGCTCTGCCTACTACTGCCAACATAGACTTTTCTATGTATAATTTTTAACTTGACAGTCAATACCTAAATTTAATGTTATTAATAGGAGTAAAACAATACTGTTATGAAAGTTAAGATGTTCATAAGAACAGCATGCAGCAAATATCAAGTGTGTTGCAGTTTGTAGTTCAACATAATTTCTGTGAAACCATTTCTTGAGTTCACAAAGTAAATATTTGAAAATATTTGGGTTGCAGAATCCTAGCAAGCCTTGATAGGACAGTTTTTGTCCTGATCTTGGGAAGTGACTCGAATATACAATATGTCACTCAAAAATACAGGTGACTCGAAACACTGTTATGTGAGTGTGGTTTATAACTGTTTTGTTCAGAAAACTCTGGGTTCTGTAGTAGGTAAGGATCTTCTGGGGGAACTGTGCATATTGTGGCTCATGAACTGGCTTGTTATGGACCAGAGTTCATCTAACAGAATTCTCCCTTGTACCCACAGGCACTGAGCGCTCTTGAATCCATGGCGTCAAACAAGCAATATATGGAGTACCAAGAGCAGCTCTCCCAGGCTTCTGTGTTCATCAGGCATCCAGAGCATTGTCTTCGGGATGGCAACAACCTGCTGGCTCTCCTTGTCAACACCCTGTACCCAGAAGTGCATTATTTGGACACCATCCGGTAGCGGCGCTGGGCTCGCAGGGCCATCACTCAGTGCCCATCACCCTGGTTTACAAACAGTGTCCCTGCTGCACAAATAACTTTCACCTTCAGAGTTCCACTTAGTAACTAAGTCAGAATTGTGAATGGGAGCGGCATGCTGTCAAGCTTTTATCCCCTTTAAGGTTTTCTTGCTTCCCTTTTTAGGCCTGTGGAATTGCCTTTTTTTTTTTTTTTTTTTTTTTTGACTGAAAGCACTTGAATATCCTCCTGTGTGTGGTGCACTTCTGAGAGGAGGGTACTTGGGGATAGGTGTACAAATCATTAGTCAGCAAAGCTCATCCTGGAGCGTCTGGAGTTTTTGCTTGGTGCCTTTTTTATTTTCCAATGTGTCATCACTCAGGCCAGTTCAAATTTACTGGGGGATTGTGTGTAAAAGAGGTTTGACTTTCTTAACCAAGGATACCTCTGAGTCTTACCTGAGTGTGTGTCTAGTGATTTTTGTGAAATCCCTGTATTTGAAAAGATGGTACTTCAAGTTTTGATTTCTTTTTGCTGTTCCACAGAAATCTGTAGTTGAGAGGCATGCCTACAATCTTCCTCCACTTGTGTAAATATTAACAAAAGTTGTAACTGAAGAACTTTGGTTTTTTCCTGTTTTCTAAATATTAGTGTGTCTGCATCTATATTGCTTCATTAAATGCAAGTAACTTCTAGCCAAGTTCAAGGGGATTTAAATCCAGAAACAGATTTTCTGGATCTCTAGTGTCTGGGAGGGGAACAGTCAGTTATGATCATGTTAGGTAGGATTCCTTAATTCTTAAAGTCTGGTTGTTTAGGAAATACTGATTTAACAAGTGTCCACCCACCACTTAAGTTTATTTTCTTTTGCCTGGCTGGGCATGACACCATGAGATTTTAGAGGACGCTATGAAGAGGTGTTTCTGTTGTATTAAATTTGGTGATCACTTGTTAAAATTCTGTTGCCAAAGCATGAACCACGAGCCTGTAGTTTCAGCTGAATGATCACTGTTTTTGTTGCCTTGTCTGATCATAAGATGCACTTTTGTTTAGGGAAAGCAGAAGATGAATTTTTCCCCTTGCTTGTTTGACGTCCCCTTCATCACTGATGTGTTTGAGGTGGCCCAAGGTCCTACAGTCCCAATCCCTACACCAGTGTGAAGGAACTGATCGCTTTTTCTCTCCCTCCATTAATTGTGCCTTTGTGTTTATGACATGGTTGCACGTTAAAACATGAGTTCTGATCACTAGGGGATAGAAATGTGCTACCTACTGTCTGGTCAATGATGCTTTGATCTGTTCCTCCCAACGGTGGTTCTGGTGCTGCAGAGCAGATCAGCTTTTTCTTCTTGCCAGATTCTGCTAATTATGCCAGCTGGGTCATTAGATCACCGTCATATTAATGTGGTCTTAGAGTTCTTTGCTCTATCTGCGAGCCTATAAATAGATATACATATGTACATCCCTCTGTATATTAACCAGATACCAAATGCAGCATGTTTTTTAAGACTCTTTTGGAAAATTCGTGTCTGGAGGAATACATTCGGCTGCTTTGCCCCCCTCAAAGACTTACAAGCACTGGTTTTATTAGATTCAGTGTTATTGATCAGTTGCATATAAATGTGAAAAAGTCAGAAATACGTGTTTGAGATGCACTTTCAAAATGAGGAATTGTTTCAGCTGTTGAGTTTTTACAAATGTTGTATTTATAACATGCTATGTCTGCAAAGACCATGCAAAAATAAAAACAAAAAATCAAGCAATTTGTGACAGACACTGTGATGTTTTCAAGTTGCTGGAAGAATACACTTCAGGTAACACATAATTGCTGTATGTGTCACCCATAGACCAGTCTTCTGGCTTCATGGTCAGTGTGGTAATGGCAGAAGTCTGAACCTGTGCTTTCCTCAAACACTGGGGGGCAGTTTTGCGAACTAACAGATCCACTGGCAGTTCTCTGTGCAAATGTGAACTCCAGAGCTTGGGGCCTTATTTTCCAAATTGTGCCCAACAGAGCGACTTCTTATTTCTTCTAGTTTTACTGGAAAGGCTCTGGCATTCCCAGCATCTCCCACTGTCTCTCGTGCCCAAAACTACAACGTTCTTGTTCACATCATTAAATGTCACTGGGTGCTCTCAGAAGGAAAACTGAGTTTTATGTTGATTTTAACATTGTAGATTGCATGGAAAGAGATGAAATGGTTATGTCAGCTACTCAATAACAATTGTGGCTGTTGGATACTTGGTGCAGTTTAGTTGGAGAATGAGTATCTGTGGCTTTTTGAATGTTTTACCTCACACAGCAGTTGTTGCATTGGGATGAGTTGTTGCCTGTGGGTTGCAGCTCAAGTATTTATTAATAAAATAAGGCCAAATAGGGAAATGGGCATAACAGCTGAATGTGGCATTAACTTCACTCAGGGGAATGGAGAAGCAGAAGTTGAGCAGCAAGGTGCCTGAAATGTGCAGGCAGTGCTTGCTCTGCAGGCTGACTGCTCAGCAACCCACAGAGGCTGTGGTGATGGGAAATGGCATCATTTATCCTGGGAGAATAGAGAGCAGTGGCCAAATCCTCCCAAACCCTGAATGTGCATAAACTGAGCAGTTTAGGAGGAGGGGAGGAACTGGGACACACTTTTTAGGCCAAGTGAGTTCAACACTAGAAGCCTCCTGGCATGTGCCCTGCTGTGTTTTGACCTTCTAGTTTATATTGGTTTGAGTGGGTGGTTTGAGTCTCCCATGAGGACCAGGGGCCACGAGTTAGTTTTGGGGCACAAGGTCTGATGCTTCTGTTTGGACCCAAACTACTTGAGTTAAACAGGTAGTTTTTGAGAGAAAAATCCTGGGAGCCAAGTGTGAATCCCATACACAAGTGGGAACAAGTTCTTTGTTATTCTGTATCTGTAAATCATAAGGGCTCAGAAATTCGGTTCAGTTTGTCCAACTAATATCCCTGAGATCTCTTTCCTCTGTGACACCAGTGAGACTGAGCTTACAGGTCCCTGACTACACTGTCTGCTGTAACTTCCTTTTCCTCTTTGCATCCCTTCTTATTTTTATTAAACCTGGCTTTCAGAAAAAAAAAAATCAAAAAGCCACAGATACTGATTCTCCAACTAAACTGCACGAAGTATCCAAGTCACCGCTGGGACTTTAAGCTGGGATTTAAAAGATCAAGTTCAAATATTTCCTTGCATTTTTTTTTCCTTATTATCCTGGCCAAGTAATTTAAAATTGTGCTTTACTTTCCCAGCACAGGTATTATGAAGAAGTGAACTTTAAAATAATGATTCCTAGCCTGGGATTGAGCTTGCAGGCAGGACCACAGGCTTGATGGTAATTCAGTAGCAGCTTGGAATCCCAGCCAGTGGTGGTTGTTACCAGGAGCAGGATCATCTGGGGAAGAGTTTTGGAGCTGCTGCACTGGAATGGTTGCACAGAGCCACTTGCGAGTCAGAACTTTTCCGTGTAACACAGAGGTGGAAACTGTGTTAGAAATAAGTTTTTTAGCTTTAAAAAAAAAAAAAAAAAAAGGCAAAAAGGCAATTTGTTGTATTGGAACATTTTCACAGTGTATTTATCACAAAGCTCTGGGCACTAGGTAGAGTAGTAGAGTTAGAGACTAATTAGACTTTGCATGTCCTGCTTTCAGCTCTACCAGCTTTTGGAAAACCTCTTCCTTTTTCTTGGACTCCTCTTGAAAGTTAAGGTTTCCTTTAAACTCTTAAATAAACTCTTCTGGAAGATAATGAATAATAATAATGACTAAAAAAAAAAATCCCCAAAACCACCAGCAGAAATTCCAGTAGTGTTCTGTCACAGCTGGTGTTTGAAACATGACAGTAGCTCACTTGCAGGCGGCATGTGGTTGGACAAGTGAAATGATATTTGAAAATTGCCAAAGCAAAAAGATTTGAGAAAATCTTTTTTAGCAAGCTGTTACCTGCTTCCTAAATATGATCTGGGCTAAAAACGCACAGATTGGTTAAAAATGACATTCTGTGCAGATCCTCCTCTGCTCTTCCAGCTCTACCCCTTTTTCTTTTTTATTTCTTCTCTTTTGCCTTTAAGGGCTGCTCTTGCTTGTGAGCAGCATCAGGGCTGGGAGTCATAGCATACAGAATGGCTTGGGTTGGAAGGGACCTCAAAGATCGCCCAGTTCCATCATCCCCACCGGTGTTTGGCCTTCTGTTCATCAGCCAACATGGGTTTTGTGTTCCCTGGGAGAGAGGACACCTGTGCAGGGAGCAGGTGGGGGTGGGATCTCCTCAGCTGCGCCTGGGCACTGCTCTCCCTCCTGGCAGGGTCTGGCTCCCTCCGTGCCTGCGGTCAAAGTTCTCGTAGGTGCAGTCTGGCAGCTGTGGCCTGGCAGGAGGAGAAGGGAATAAGGTGAGGACACATCCCTGGCTGCTCTGGGCTTTGTAAGTGGCTCCAACAAGCAGCTAAGGAGTGTTAGAGCAAGTGTTTGCGATGCTCCGACACGGACTGTCCCTCTGCAGCAGGGGGTCTTTAAGGGTCTGAGTTGCAACTGATGTTTTACATCTTAAAGCATCCAGAGCAATCTCCTGCACCCTTAGCATTAACTGCTGCTGCTGTCCTGCTGCTCAGAGCCTTGGGAGGTTGTGGCAAATCTTTCCTGAGAAGGATCTTCTCATGGGAGTGTTGGTTTTTAAGCCTTCCTCTGTGTAGGTGTCTATACAAAGACAATCAATGGTGCAGTGTCATTTAGACCCTGATAAATCAGCAAACCTATACTTTTTGCAAATAGTCATTACAAATTTGACTGTAGGATTAAATTCCTTCTTGTCTCTTTGGCCATGTCCTTACGTTTGAATGTCCTGCTGAAATGGCCCTTGTTCCTGGGTAAGGTGAGGGAAGGAAAGAGACATCATGTAGGAGTAACTTGGGAAGAGGATATTGCATAGGGGTAACTCAGGTTGGAGACATCACAAAGAGAAAACTCAGATTGGAAGGGGGCAGCCCCAGGCAGATGTTGTTACACTGATCTCAGATACAGCTTCTTTACTGTTAGACTAAGGGCTGGTGTTTTTGGTTTTTTTGTTGTTTGTTTGTTTGTTTGTTTTGTTTTTGTTTTTGTTTTTTTTTGTTGTTGTTGTTTGGTTTTTTTAGTTAATTTTTTTCCATCCCTTTCTAGCTTGGCCACCCCAGCTGTCATTGTCTAAGATCAGCGTTTTGCTGGGTAATGGGAAATGCCAAGGGTCTGTGGGAGCACAGTGTGGATGCCAGCCAAGGAATCAGGCCCTGTCACACCTGACCTGGGTCTCAGGTGGGCTCTTTGGTACCTCCATACCTTCCTCCACTCTTGGCTGAGCTCATCAGTTTTGGTGTGGGCACTTTTTCTTCTCCACCAACTCCATCTCCTAGAACGGTTCCATCAACACTGTCTCCGCACAATCCTAAACATCCACTGGTCAGATTTTGTGACCAATACATCTGTTCTAGAACAAGCAGCAGTCACAAGTATAGAGGCCATGTTGATGAGAACACAGCTGCGATGGGCAGGGCACATCTCCAGGATGAAGGACCAACCACCCCCTCCCTAAGATCTTGCTTTATGGTGAACTTGCCACCAGCTGCCGCATGAGAGGAGCCCCGAAGAAAAGATACAAGGACTCCCTGAAACAACATCTCAGCCTTGGTCATACTGATCACCATAACTGGTCTACTCTGGCCTCCAGTCAGGAGGTCTGGAGACACACCATCTATAACGCTTTTGAGAACACACGCAGGATCACCCTTGAGGAGAAAAGGCAACGCAGAAAGAATTGTGCCTTGCAGAATTTACCACCTAAGGAGTCTTTCTGCTGTGCCTTTTGCAATCGAACATGCCTGTCTCGTATTGGCCTTTTTAGCCACCAGCGTGCCTGTAACAAACGTGGGTAGAGCCCTTCCCAAATCTTCGTTCGCGAAGCCCAGCCATGATGATGATGAGAAACTGGGGTCCAGAGGGAGGGGAAGGTTTCTCTTCCATGGTGTCAGCACAGACATCCCCTCACCTATCCCTGGGATGGATGGTCCACTCTTTAATGTGGCACCATAGAACCACAGAATGGTTTGGGTTGGAAGAGACATTAAAGCTCATCTCATCCCACCCCCTGCCATGGGCAGGGACACCTTTCAGGTTGCTCCAAGCCCTGTCCAGCCTGGCCTTGAACACTTCAAGGGATGGGGCAGCCACAGCTTCTCTGGGCAGCCTGTGCCAGGGTGTCACCACCCTCACAGACAGGAATTCCTTCCCAATATCCCATCTAATCCTGCCCTCTGGCAATGGGAAGCCATTCTCCCTGTCCTGTTCCTCCATCCCTTGTCCCAAGTCCTTCTCCAGCTCTCCTGGAGCCCATTTAGGCACTAGAAGGGGCTCTCAGGTCTCCTTGGAGCCTTCTCTTCTCCAGGTGAACCCCCCCAGCTCTCCCAGCCTATTTGCATGCCTGACTGCAGCCTTCCAACCATGCTCTGGGCTTATGGCACACCTAAATTTCCAGTTGTTTGCTGGTGCAGCATCTCTTTGCCATGGTCTCTCCAAGCTGCTGCCCCAGTCCCTTGTCCTCACATCACTGGGGTCTCTCCTCAGCTGTGCCCAAACCTTGTTCCCTCACACCAGCTCCCCTGGCCGTCAGCCCAACCCTCTCCTTGTCCCGGGAACCTGCTCTCAAGCCAGAGAATTGTTACCAAGACCACAGACATGCTGCATTTTCACCCTTAACCAATTCCACCCTCCTGTGGGATGACATGAGTAGAAGGCAGGACATCCTTACCTGACCAGGCTGGATGGAGCAGAGGAGGGACCTGTGGAGTGGGAAGGATAATGTGGGTTAGCAATGAGGTCAGACTGACCTGGGGAACCAGGACTGACCTGGAGAAGACCTGATGTCAGGCCTGTGGCCCTCTTCATGGGTTTGGGAACTAGGTACTGGAATGTAAGGAGGGAAAGGTTTTTGGTTGGTCTGACAGCTTCTGCTGTTCAAGACAAGTGGTGGCTTCCATGGGTGTGACATCAGACTGTCCCTACAGACGAGTCGCAGTGATCTCATCTTGTCCAGACTGAGAGGCAGAGTCCTGTGTCCTTCTTGGTCCTCTCCTGCCCATACCACTGCACAGCAGGAATGGCTTCCTGGGATGTCTCATCCCTGAGTCAGTGAGATGATTCTCATCTCCTGTAGGCGGGGCATTCCCTGCTCTTATGGCCTTGGAGTTGCTGGGAGGTGGGATTTCACCAATGATGGGAAAGCAGAGGTGTGGTCTGTAAAATAAGGATGCCCATCCCAGGGGCATCCCAACACAACATTAAACTGTTGTGTGGGATGCACCAAAGGTAGACCTTGGCCATGGGCTACAGGGGAAGAGGTAGTAATTAGCCTGCTCCAAGGCAAAAAAAGAATTACAAATCTAGTTGTGTAGGCAGTGTGTTCTCCACTAATTGCCCATCTATTAGTTTATTAACCTTTCTCCTTGGGCACAGAAACTCCTGCTGCCTCTGTCTTTTCTAAGGCCCCTTCCCAAAGGAGACCCTCTGTCAGCAGGCTGAGACCAGCCAGCCACGAGCTCCCTTTTACTTGTACTTAAATTTCCCACTGGAAATGTCCTTCTTCTAGGGTAGAAAATTAAAAATCCTTAAAAAAAAAAAAAAAAAAAGAGAAAAAAACCCACAAAAAAACAAACAAACCCACCTCCCCCCCCCACCTGCCTTTATCTGCTGCACCCACCAGTGGGTACCAGTGAGACGAAGGGAAGTCACGGCACTGACCTTCTCTGGAGAACACAGTGAAGCTCAGTATGGCCAGCAAAACGAGCACCTTGACTCCCAGCGGCACCAGGACCAGGATCATGAAGAAGGAGCTGTCGGACGCCTTGAATTTGTAGAAGTACACGGCCCCCTCGGCCCTGCCGTGGCTGTTGACAGCAGTGCAGGTGTACTTCCCGTCGTGGGTCAGGTACCGCAGCTCCTTGGTGACGCGGTGGCTCGTGCTGGTGGTGGAGGTGAGGTTGGGGTAGGGGGAACCAGTCCAGGTCAGGGCAGGTGCTGGCTCCCCCTCGGCGGTGCAGCGGGCCTGGAACGTGTGATCCCTGTTGGAGCTGACCGTGATGTTGATGATCCGGGGGGCAGCTGCGGGAATGGCGACAGGGGAGGGAGGGAAAGCGTGTCAGGCTTCAAGGGCAGGCACAGCACAAGGCACCTGGAATGAGCTCTTGGTCTTGGTGGACCCTGAGTGGGTTATATCAGGGTAAAACTGGGTGACAGGTGCTGGTGGGTGAGGGGTTGGACATGACCCAGTGATGGGAACTTACAGCCCAGAAACCCCCCATGCCCTGGGCTGATCCCACAGCGTGGACAGCAGGGAAGGGGGGGATTCTGCCCCTCTGCCCCCTCAGGCAAGACCCCCCTGCAGAGCTGCCTCCAGCCCTGAGGAACAGCAACAGAAGGATGTGGAGCTGCTGGAGCGAGTCCAGAGGAGGCCACAGATGCTCCGAGGGCTGGAGCCCCTCTGCTCTGGAGACAAGCTGGGAGAGCTGAGGGTGTTCACCTGGAGAAGGAAAGGCTTCAGGGAGAGCTCAGAGCCCCTTCCAGGGCCTAAAGGATCTAGAAGAAAAATGAGGACAAATTTTTTAGCAGGACCTGTAGTGATAGACAAGTGGTGATGATGTTTTTCAAGTAAAAGAGGGGAGATTTAGATTGGATCTAAGGAAGAAGTTTTTTAAAATGATGGTTGCCCAGACAAGTTGTGGCTGGCCCATCTCTGGAAGTGTTGAAGGCCAGGTTGGACAGGGCTTGGAGCAACCTGGGCTGGTGGAAGGTGTCCCTGCCCATGGCAGAGGGGTCGGGCAATATAAGCTTCAAAGATCCTCTTCAACCCAGACAATTCTATGATCCTATGAATGCTGGGATCAGCCCTTCTTCCTTATTTTTCTTGGCATCTTCTTCCTCTAGATTTCCTCACCTTGCCTTTGATGGATAGAGGAGCAAAGAGATCCACACAGCAAAGAGTGGGTGCGAGGATGCTCTGTTTGTGCTCTTTTTTTTGTACTCCATTTGTGTTTTATTCCCGTAATGCCTCACACAGTTTTCTGAGCTTCAGTCAACTCCAGCTGTTGTGACCTTCCACGATGGCAGAAGGCAAAGAAGTGCCATCCACCACGTAGGCACAGGTGGTGACCTTTTTATACTCGCTGCATCTCCACGTGGTTGAGGACGTGGCAACCATGGTGGTCTCCACAAGCCTCTCTTGGCTGTTCCCTTGGTCTCTGACCTCCAGGGCACACATGGATGGATCCGTTTGTGTGAGTCCTTTGCTCAGTGCCTGAGACTTGCCAGAGTTGGCAGATTACTGTTGTAGGGAAAATTTCCACTTCTTGCTACGACCTGTTTTTGATGTTTTTCTCCAACCCTGTAGTGACCAGGTCACTTTCAGGTTGGACATTAGGAGGAATTTCTTCACAGAGAGGTTGGCCAGGCATTGGAAGGGGATGCCCAGGGAGGTGGTTGGGTCCCCCATCCCTGGAGGTGCTTAAGGGAAGACTGGATGTGGCACTCAGTGCTCAGGTCTAGTTGACATGGTGGTGATCAATCAAAAGTTGGACTCAGTGGTCTTGGAGGTCTTTTCCAATCGGTTTGATCCTGTGGCCACCCAACAGCCAGTGTGGGTTCCTGGTTGCTTTTGGGTAACACTCCCATACCAAGATAGGGCCACTACTTTTGTGTCCTGTATTTGTAGTGTATGGGATTGTGTGACTTAATGAACATTTAAATATCAATTTTGTAAAGGTCAGTTGGTAAAGACCATTTCAAGGATGCAAAATATCAAGAGAGATACTGTTGAACATGTCACTGTCAGTTTAGTCTGCTAAGGAAGTGTAGCTGCTGTGACCAAGCTTGTCTTACCCACCAATGCTCTCCTCTTAGCTCTCCTGACTCATTTAGTGCATTTGGTTCCTAAAGGTGTTGTGAAAAGTGAAGGGAGCTACGTGAGTGCCCTTACAGAGGAAGAGCAGGAATTAATTTTTTTTTTTTTACAGGCTAAAAAACAAAAATATGTTTTGCAACTGCCTACAGCACATCTTCCCCCTTGTCTGTGTATGCAAGAGGAGTTTCAGGTGGTGTGTCGTGTGTCTGTGTGTTTTGGTGTCTAAATTAACTTTTTAATCATTATTTAGCCCCTCCCAGTCATATTGTCAGGGTCCATTCCCAAGCAAGGTACAGCCTGGGTGCTGTGTCTGTGTGTGTTATCATTCCTTATAGTGTTAAAGTCCAGACAGCCCATGAGAGACAGGTCTTACTGCCATCATGCCCTGGTCATGCTGTGTGTGGGTTTTTAGGACCCAAGGGAAGGAGAGCCTTGACTGTGCAGAACTTCCCAAGAAGTAACTGAGCTCAACCTCAGGACCATCTGGATGCCCACAGTGCACAGCAGGCATAAGGAAGTTCTCTCTTACAAGCAAAACCATCCAACCTCATGACATGGGTAAGATCTGAGTCTGTTTCCAAGGCCACTTGGCTCTCACAGCTGTCCCTTATCTGTGAGCTCACAGTTAAGGGAGCAGTGGGATTAGCATTTGACATTTGACATTTGTTGCTCCGAGATGTTTTTTTTAGGCTGTTCATTTTTTTCAGGCTGTTTGTACCCTTATTGTTTCCTGCATCCAAAGTGAGATGCCCAGGTTTTGGTGGGCTCTTACCCCAGCTGCCAGAGCCTCGCTATTTCCTTACCAGTTCTGTTCCTATTCCCTCCCCTGCATTGTGTTCATCGCCTCATATTGGAAGACTGAGGAAGACAGTGAATATTCCCTGCCCAAATGCTCTAAACTGTCCACAGAGCCAGAAGAGCCAACCATTCGGAAAACCGTCTCAGGTAAACTCCTGTTACCGTCCCATCAGTTTCCACACCTTGTGGCTCTTGTCTTCCTACAGGATGGCTTTTCCTCCCATGGCTCTCATGCCCTCTTACCAATCAAGTGCAGCTTTATCCCACTCCTCTTACCAATCAAGTGCAGCTTTATCCCACTCCTGCTTTCATACTTGTCGTGGATGTCTCCGGCCAGCTCCACCCTGCAGAAGTATCTGTCGCTGTCGCTCCAGGTCAGGTTGTCAATCCTGATGGAGAGGTCCTTGTGCCGGGGGTTGCCCAGCAGTTTGTACTTGTTCTTATAGCTGATGGCAGTCTTACAGAGCTCGCTGGTGCTCTGGCTCACACACTTGAACACTATGGTGCCGTTGTAAGGCTCCTTGATCCTCCAAATGGCAGTGAGGGTCCGGTCGAAGGCTTTGTAGGGGTGTGTGAAGGTGCAGGGCAGGATCACCATCTTCCCAAGCTCACCAGTAACATCAGATGGGACGTGAACGGACCAGCTGTTGGACTGCACACCTGGGAGCAAAAAGACATCATGGAATCACAGGATGGTTTGGGTGGGAGGGGACCTTAAAGACCATTTTGTTACACCCTGCCATGGGCAGGGACACCTTCCACTGGACCAAGTTGCTCCAAGCCCCATCCAATGTGGCCTTCAACACTTCCAGGGATGGGGCAGCCACAGCTTCTCTGGGCAACCTGTGCCAGGGCCTCACCACCCTCACAGGGAAGAATTTATTCCTAATATCTAATCTAAATGTCCCCTCTTTCAGTTTAATATATAGGTATGTATGTCTGTCTACCCCTTGTTCTGCTAGAATCAACAGCTGTAGCAGCAGTCTGTGGTCTCAGAAACATCTGTGTCTATGTTCCTGTCTTATAAAACTCACTTGACAGCTTCATTAAATCAGCTCTCCCCTCAGTAGCTGAGAATACCCATAAAATGTAAAGGTGCCCTGTAAGCAACTCCAGCCCTGGTCTAGCTGGCTTCACCACGTTTTGTGGGCATTCAGCTGTCAGATTAATCCTATAGACTCAAAGATAAGATTTGTTTTTTGTTCCTGTGTCTGCTGTCCACAACACTTGACAAACACATCGGGGGCAGTGCAGCTTGTATTAATCTATTGTGCACAGCACAATGGACAAAGGCCATCCCAGGGCTGGTTCTCTGCTGTTCGTTTATTTACCTGGAATCAGCTCCAAGCCAGTATTTTGATTACTGAGATCTGGAGTCGGGCTGCCCTGTCTTTCAACAATATGGGCACCTTTTCCTGCCCAGGTAATGTCATATACAAAGCTACAGGACTGCAGGAGCTTCAGGAAGCTCGTGGACTTTAAGCACAAGGACCTGGCAATGAAAACAGAAATTGCTATTGTTTTCAAGTTTATTTGTCCTTGTTCTAGTTATTTTACAGCATGTCACTGTAACCTTTACTTCTTGAGAACTGCAGATCATGTGCTTTTGAGTACCTGACTTGCTTTTCTCTGTCACCTCTTTTTGACTTTTTTTTTTTGTTTTAAATCTTGAGCAAAGAACACTTTATTTTTCTAGCACATAAGCCTCCCCTTGCCTTCCAGATGAAAAATAATGTTAAAAATAAGTGCATCTAATGTTACCAGCTCCACCCATTTCCATGGAAACACAGTCTGCCTAGTTATGAGTGGAGGGAGTTGTCAACATTCTGTGTATAATTTACCCTTAACCTTAAAACTTCAGGTCTTCCATTATTCCTTTTGCTAATACCCAGCCTCCATTTGTTCCTGGAATTGAAGCTCTTATAACAGAGAGAGAGAAGTTCATGGGAAAATAGCCTGCACACCTCACAGAGGGTAACTCCCAAAAGGAGTTGTCTATGGGAAGGTTGTGAAGACAACAGCAAGAGCTGCAGACCACCCCAGGCACCACCCTTGCTCTAGCAAATACTGTTTGACAGTGTATCTAATCAACATCCATCGAGTTTAATGGAATTTAAATGCCTGTTTAAGTTAAACGTGAGCTTAAGTGATCAGTGGAACTGGAGAAAATTGTGTCTGCTGCATGATACCTCCTAGGAACGTGAAGCAGCACTTCTGGGTGGGGATGGAAATCTACCCGACAAATCTGGGGAAAAGTTAGATGAACTCCATGCACAAGTTAAAAAAACCAAAGAAACACGCAAACCAACCACACCCCCAACCACAACTTGAAGCCCTCTCTGACAACTGCTGAGCCAGGTCTGAATTTTTCCAGCGTTCTCACATGCACCTGGAATTTCATGATCCTTTTAAGCGACGTGATGGATGGTGCAATCCTTGGAGAGTTTGTTGCATTAGGGTGATGCCCCTGGCACTTTGTCTAGAGCGAGGGGAGAAGCCCTGATCAGACAAGGATTGGTAGCAATCTCAGCAAAGCTCAGAACTCACCCTTCCTGGAGATGCGAAGGAGACACAGGAGAACCAAGCCAAACTCTCTCATGCTGGTTGACCTTCTCCCCTGAGGTGCATCAGCAAACCAGAACTGCCTCATTACATCTGAGCTGATGGCCTTGCAGGCACAAAAGGTTTTTCCAGGGCTGGAAGAAGTTGTGGTTTTCCTGTCCTTGGAGGGAGTGAGCTGTTTAGCTGAACCAGCTCTGGGTTCAGATATTAATAGTTCTGTGGTCAGTCATATGAAAATTACACCAGAGGGAATCAGGGCATTACGATTTTCCAGCTAAAGGAAGGCGTTTGCAGGTTGGGGCTGCAAACACCCACACCAGGTGTGTGATGGGGCGGGAGGGAACTGTTTTCCAGTGCCACCAACTCACCAGCCTGGAGGAAACCCTTGCAATCTGCCTAAAGGGTTGCCAAGCCAGACCCTTTCTTTCCTGGTTAGAAGCAGTTCCCCCTCCTGAACCTGGAGCCTGCAAGCCAACTGTGCTTTACACCTTGTGCTCACTCGTTGTTATAAAACAAACCACCCCAAAACGCACTTCTTTTGAAATTATCTGAGCACTTGTGCCAGGGTTCAGTGGTGGGTGAGTGCTGGTGCTCACTGTGACCCTGCTCTGTCGAGACCCACATGACCCTAATGAGTTGTGAATCATTCCTTGCTTGTTGTTAAACTGCGTTTGAAATAAGCTGACTTCCAGCTTTTGCCCAACATCCTTGTGCAAATGCTCACTTTATTCCTTCTGGGTTTAGCTTTTCTCTCAATTTACTGTGCAGTTTGCTAATCTGCAGAATTTGGGGCTTGTGGAGAGCTGACCATGGTCCCCTTATGTCATCTCCCATATGGTGATCCCATGATTTGTTTAAATTTAACCTTGGGGCGTGTATTCCCTGTCTGGGTTTAGCTTGAGGTTTGCTGCCTTTGCCTTAGGCCAGGGAAGGCTGATATCTGCCTGATTAATCTCCTGGGTGGGGACTGAGACAGCAGCACCCACAGGACTCACGGCCAGGTTGGACAGGGCTTGGAGCAAGCCGGACTAGTGGAAGGTGTCCCTGCCCACGGCAGGGGGCTGGAACGAGGCGAGCTTTAATGTCCCTCCCATTCCAAACAATTCCATGATTCCCGCTGCAGGCAGCCGTGGACTCGCAGCCACTGGAGGGCTCCCAGAGCCAATGCAAGATTGCTGCCGAGTCGCTGCTGCCACTTTCGCTGTGCCAGGAGCCAGCGCCTTCCCCCCAGCAGGGATGCCAGGGCTCCCCTTTGCTTCTTACCCCTTCTCCTGAAACTCTCCCCGTATGTTCCCTTCTTAGCTTGTGCAAAATCTCCCAGAAGAGGGACTTTTGAGATTTGGTAGCGTGAAGTGTGTTTGCCGCTTTCTGAGCTCTTTCTTTGTCCTGGTCAGAGTCTTTGTGAAGGGAAGGATTTCTTTTTCCCAGACGTTTTGGAGGAGGCTCTGAGAGTACCCAGATGTTATGTATGGTTACTATTCAGCCAAGGGTGGTGTTACTTCAAATAATGACTTAGAGCCTTGTGCAGTCCCCATACATGCCATCCTTGAGCAGGAGCATCAGGACCCAGGGTCTAATTACTTTGCAAACTGTCCTTATGAGCTGTAAAACATAGTTCAGACCACCAGCAGCAGAGAAACCTGAGGCTATGGGTGATGGAAACAGCAAATAAGAGACCTGTATCCTTATCCCCTCTGTGATATGTGCCTTTTCTGTGTATTTTTGCCTTCTTCTTCCTCCATATACTGTTTGATTTCATCTACTCGTGATGTGAAGTTTTTGGTGTTGTGATTATTTTTAAGCATTTCACCACTAATGGTACAGTGGGACTTAGTGGATTGAAGTAAAAGATTAAAGTGAAATCCATGCTAAAAACATCTTTTTACAGTGAAGCATAAATGATTCATATGAAGAATAGCTGCAGTTAACACTTAGTATGAACCTCTTCCTCTCTAATATTTGACTCCAGCATCTCCTAAAAAAATACCTGCTAAATCAATGCAGAAGTATAAATCCTTTGACTTTTCTCTGTGGGCTGATTTTCTTTTTGGACCATGTGATGGCTATTTGAAATAAAGCATTTTAATGTTTAAAATACAGAGTTGATAATGTATAGCTGAAAATATTTACTACCTGTTTGAATCAGCCAAAAATTTTTGTAAACAGCATCATCTGTGGCTGTATAATCCACAGACTCTGTCATGTCTTTTTCCAGGTCTGTGCTTAAATGATATCTAAGATTTCTGTGAGGAAGCCTGCTTTTGTTCCAACACCAAAACCAGGATGCCTTCCATATTAATGTTTCTTTTCACCAGTAATAAGCAATAGGGTGGGTGGAAATGACCCTAAGTTGCACAGGGGGAGGTTTAGATTGGATATTAGGGAAAATTTCTTGATCAAAAGGTCTGTCCAGCCCTGGCAAGCTGCCCAGGGCAGTGGTAGAGTCCCCATCCCTGGAGGGATTTAAAAGCCCTGTGAATGTGGCACTTGGGGACATGGGTTAGTGGTACCCTTGACAGTGCTGGGGAACAGTTGGACACAATGATCTTAGAGGGCTTTTCCATACTAAAGGTTCCCATGGCTCTGTGATTAGTGATGATCTGCACCCAGGTTGCAGCACGTGGCTGGAGGTGAGCACGGCACAGCTCGACCCTCCTGGTCCCAGGTTTGTCACTGAGGATCGAAACAAGGAGTCTTATATGTGGCTGTATCTGTGCTGACAATACAGCCACTTAGTGACCAGAGTGAAGGCAACTGTTTCCCCTCTCTCCCTTTGGGTCTTAATATCAGCTCCAACGTTCTCTACTTCAATTACTTCAGCAGCATGTGTGAGTCCTCCCCAGTCCTCCCCAGTGCCAACCCACACATGTTCGGCGCAAAACCCTTATGTTTTGTCACATCTGGCTCTCTCCCCTGAAGGGATTGGCTCTGGGAAGTGCTGGGAGGGCAAGCTGGGAGGCCAGAGGAGTTTTCCCTTTGTCTGGTCTCTGTCAGTTGAGCAGGAGAAAGCGGAGCTGTGGGCGGCCCATCTCCCCCCTGCATCCACTTCATCCTGGCCAAGCTGGAGGGAGAAAAACAGCAACAGGAAAACCTGCAGTGCAAGGAAGGTGGAAAGGGTGGGAGGGATGGAGAGTATCAAAGACAGGCACCATTGTTGCAGGTGACACTGATCCTGCTTCCTGGCACTGAGCGTTGCTGCAGAACACAGGCACCACTGTGTCAGGCTACTCCTGATCCACTTTGAAAGTCTATAGGCTCAGTCGCTTGCCTGTGGTGTTTGCTCAGCCTCTTACAAATGCTCCTGACCTGGAAAGTCCTCCTGCCTTTCATATAATTGCTCCAAGGTCTGGAACTGTCCCATCACCAAAGCTGGGTGGGTGAATCTGTGGAGCAAGAACGGGGGTGCTGGTGAGCCCTTGTTGCCTCTGTTGAACATCAGCTAAAGACAATTAAATGGATATTTGGGTAATACTCTTCTAGTGGGTAATTATGGTTTGAAAAGCACAGCTTGTCTTATAGGCAGAGCATTGTGGATGGAAGAAGACACACGAAGTGTTTATAAGTTTTTTGTGCCACATCCACATGGCTTTTAAATCCCTCCAGGAACGGGGACTCCACCACTGTCCTGGGCAGCCTCTGCCAGGGCAGACAGACCTTTTGGTCAAGAAATTTCCCCTAATTTGCAATCTAAACCTCTGCAGTCACATCCAAGTATTGACATGGAGAACAGACCTGATTTCCCAGACCTGTGCATTTCTGTCCCTGCTGCTGTCTGTTTAAATCCTCTGCTATGAAGAACTATGTTTGGAACACTTGCAGACAGGTGGTGATGGGATGTTTTCTATTTTGCCCATACCAAGATAGGTCAAAGCCATTGAGAGGATGATGCTGAGGCCACCAGTGCTGGCACCCACCTCCTCCAGGCAGCACAAGATCTCGGGATCAGGCAGCTGCTTACTACAAGCTTGCAGAGTGGGGTTGTTCCATCCCAGAACTGGTCTTTTTCCCAGGCCCAACCAACAGTGTAGAGACACCTGATTTAATCACTGATTTGTCCTGACAGTCCTGATATGGCCATTCACTGTTATGGGAATGCTAAGAGACCTTTGACTCACATTGGATACTTGCTTAATGACAGCAATGGAATATTTTAGGATCAAACCCAGTACTTCTCAGAGCCATGTGACCTGACCAGCCACCGAGTGTCCTCTCCTACCCTGGTCACTCTGTCATCCAAATGAGCCCTGAAGGTCTGGTCTGTGTGTGATGCTGGGATTAGCCTGAACAAGAAGGTGAGCCAGCTGGCAAGACACAGGCACTAAACATCCTTTTAGACTAATCCAAATGACGTGTCTGATTAAAGGCACTTGAAATGCCACCAGAAAAGAAGTTCCTGCCTATCCTTCTTAGTAAAAGGGAGCCCATGGAGATTTATGTGCTCTGTCTTTCCCTGCTGAATGGGCACAGATGGTGATTTAAGAGTTTTATGCTCCTCTGGCTGTAGATTTCATAGCCCTTCTCTGGGATGAAAACTGCACCCTTGGGAAGGAGTGTGGGCTGGTTCTATCCATCAGGCCACATGATATCTGAAGCACATCCTGAACTTTTCCTTGGCAGAACACTCTTGGCCAGTGAAGGCGTGGGACTGGTGCACGGGCTGAGCTCTGGTCACCACCTCTGCGCTGTCTCACAGACTCCAAATAGATTCAAAAGCACTTAGACTGAGACCTGTGGTGATGAAGGTGGCAACTCTCTAGGACATGCCTCTGGACAATAACTCTCCACCTCTTGTTTTCACTCTCTTCCTGCCTTGCCTGAGATCCTGTACCCAACCTCTTTAGAGTGATGTTTATTGTGGCATCTTCTCTGAGAAATGTACTGTTCTGTTGTCCTTTATCCTTCCTATTGTCTGATAGCCTATGTTTCACTGATTCAAATGCAAAATATAACCAGAATGCTGTTGTTATTGTCTTTTTTTTTTTTTTTTTTTTTTTTTTTTTTTCCTTTTTAACCTTGGTGGTTAAACCTGGACTGTTC